CGAACCTCCCAAACCACTGAGACTAGAAACTTGAAATTTGACAGGTGATTGCTTCTTGGGTTGTAGATGCTCACTAAGAAAAGGTTTTTCGAAATTTTAATTAATTAAAAATGTCCTTAAATTTTAAAGTTTTTCCTCAATAACTTCGGAGCATATTATTGCATAAAAACCATTTTAACATAATCTTAAAGCTCAAAAAATTAGCCTATCAATGATGCCAATTTAATTTACATGCGACATTCAGTTTAATTTTAATTAATTTTTGAAAATGTTTTAAAATGTGCTCCAGAGTCAGTTCACCTGGCAGCTTCATTATACTGCGGCTAGAGGGAAAAACCCAGAATGCTGTATATAAAGAGATCCTCGAACATTAATATCTTGAAAACACTGGAAATACCAAAGGTTCCAATAATTAGACTACGCGAACGAAGTCGAGAGTATCAGCTAATAACATATAAAATAATATTTTCGTAATATTTTAAATATTTCGAGAGAGAGAGAGAGATAGCAGTTTCATTTCGATATAAAATTTCGATCAATTTCGTTAAATGTAAGTTCTTAAACAAGTAATATAAAAAAAAAAAATTAAAGTCAATTACTACTTAGGTCAACAAAGAAAAATATTATTTTAGAAATTTTTTTATCCCATATAAAACTAAAATTAATTAATTAAATTTAATTAATGAATTAATATTTGAAAAAACTGTATTAACATCAAGTGTCATCCACTACAAGTTTTGAAAAAATGTATTTGAACTTGAGTGGATGAATAAAAGGTATTTTATTAACGATTGAATCTTGAAAATTCCCTTTGTCGCCAAAGTCGCCAACTTTGCCGCCAAGTCACCAAAATGGTCGCCAAATCTGTAATGTTAATAGTTTTCGAGATATAATGAAAAACGTATTGCGCATGCGTCATGCAAAATATGAAATGACAGACAAACGGACAGACATACAGACAAGAAAGCGAATTAATATTGCGTTGTCATCTAGTTCTGAGCTATGTTTAAAGTTTCAAGTCTCCAGCTCATCGGGAAGTTAGTTTAAAATCGATTGCAAAATTTGAACAAGATATATATATATATAGGGAGAGTGTGAACTAATAGTAGGAATTGAAAAAGAAACAGAAAAACTCATTATGTAGTTCCTCTCGTGGGTAATAGACACTTGACGATTTAGATGAATAAAAAAAATTATTTTTCCTTTTCGGAAAAAATTTAAATGAATTTATCGGTATTTCTCAAATATAAGCACTTATAGAAATGCTCATTTTTAAAAGAAATGATATTCTTACAGAAACTTAATGTGTGACGAAATGTTAGTTTGATCAACCTATTTCTTTTAATTAGTGGTTAGATATTGTGTTACAGCGATTTTGGGACCTGGCGACATTTTTGGCTACTTGGCGCCAAATGCTTGTTTGGGAATCTGGAAATTTTGAGGCTCGAGTTACGGCGAATCTTCGAGAAAGTTCGAGCCTTCACCTCGCCAGACTATAAAAGGCGGACAGCTGCTCTGAAGTTCAGTCTTCAACTCGGTGAATTTAGTGAGCTTTGTTATCTTTTCTACAGTTGGTACGCTATTGTGATTGATTTATATAAATGTATTTCTTCATATATTTATATTTGTGGCTGTTTTCTGTAAATAATTGGCTGCAAAATAAATTATCTCAATCCAAGGAACCTTCGACATTATTTGCGTCTCCTTTTGTAATTGAAAGACGGCATGCGGCGCAACAATATGTATGAAATTATATTGCAAGCTACGATCAAATATTTAATGCTGAATTTCAATTTTAAAGAAATTACTACCTCCTTCATTAATTACTTGCTATCTTCTTTATTCCGATTTCTAAGATTTTGTTAAGTTAATTTTCCATTTTTAGCCCACACGAGATCTTATATGAACGTATCGAACAATTTTGAACTGTGGTCAGATGACGAGAAAGATACATGAGATAATGTCTGATTTTCTCATCATATTTGAGCCTCATTGCTCAAAACAAATATTTAGAGTAACAGTAATTATAATTAATAATAACTCATATTGCAATAAAAATTTGAACGCTTTGTAAATTGCTCGAACTTGTGTAAACTTCTTTATTTTCAGTGCACATTCAGGCATCTGTTTTCACAGAATTTTAAGTTGCTTTTTTGAATACTTCCGGTAAATAACACGAGTCATTTTGTGAAAATATTTCATTCGCAAAGTTTCTTTTTCATGATAAAGCAGATTTTCAAAAGAGCCATTTTTTGTTATCATGCACATTTATATTTCTATTATATACATATATTAAATCAAAAGAATTGAAAAGTGTGTAGAAAATATTGCAATTCAAAAATGCGAAATATTTCCCGGTGAGTGATTTTATAAAAAATTTATGACATATCAGTCACTTTAAGCCATTCCGCTCAGATGCTGAGCTCGTTATACTAACTGAATAGCACTTTTGCTTCAATCCGTTACATTGAAAGGAACTAAATTAAATTGTGTCTACTTATCTATATTGGAATCATGCAGAAGTGTCCGTGACGCTCACGTGGTTTGGTTTGGCTACGTGCCATTAAGAGATTCAGACAGTCTGCCTACGTCTACAAATTAGCATACATAGGGAATACTGTTTTGATTCTATGATGATTTAATATCAATACCAGAATTAATTTATATTTCTAATATAATCTTTCCGCCTTTTTTTTGTTTATTTTGTGCTTGCTTTTTTTTCTCCGAGTGTTGGGAAACACTGAATCTTTTTGTTAACTTACAAGATCTTCAAAGTATCCAACGGACATTATTGCTACTTATATTTCTTTTTTTTTAGCCGAGTTTAGCGACCTCCTTTCTTTTTCATTTTATGTTGATTCATCGATGCGGAACTCTGTTAATATTAAAAAGAAGTTATACTAAAAATAATTTTTCCACTTCTCGAAGATCTTTTTGTTGAATTATGATGTATCGGTCGGTTATTTTCTTTTTATTTAATTCATGCATGCAGAACTATTTAGAATATTTTAGTTTTTATTAAAGGAGTTCTTTCTTTTTTGTCCTTAATTTTGAAATTGAATATTTATATATTTTCAATTTAATAATTTTTTTCCTTAACCGTTCTTACACTGAAAGGCTCCTTTTACTTAAAGATTTTTATTCATCATTTTTGTATTTGATAATGCATTTTTTTCTGTTAGTGGATTTTGCATTATTTTTACTCGGACTCCGACAGAACGAAAGTAATTGTTCAAAATAAAGTTAATAAAACAAGAGTTAGGGTCGATTGATTCATCAGTTCCGTTTTTCGTGCTTTTTTTAAATTTCATAAGCACTTTAGCATTTTGCATGAGATTTTCTTCATCAACTTTCGTTAGTAAATCTGTGGCTAGTTCAGTATATTACATAACATCAATATTTTTGAAAAGAAATGCCAATTTTTTTGCCAGTTTGTTTCTATGACACGACACTTTTATGATGAAATGGATAAGATTATACAAGAAAAACCCTAAGAAATTAATTTATCATTAGAATGGCATGATGACTTTTTATCGCTTATCTGGCATTATCTTTAGCCATTAATTGTTCTCCGAGAATCTGTAACTTCTAGGGCCTATGGCTAGGCCAAGTTAACTTTACAGAATTGATAGAGCAGAGATTTATATAGTTGTCGAGGTAGTCTGTATATAGAACTATCGACACTCAAGTACTACATGTTAACTTGTACGATTCTATTCTACTCGGCTTCTCGATCTATCATACCTGTTCCATATAAATTAGAAGCATTCCATTGTGCGTAACTCGTGACGAAGTCGAAGAAAGACTGCTCGTTAATAAAATAAAATTTAATGAAACAGCAATTAAATTAAAATACTAAATCATTATACAGCTAGCTAATCAAATGATACAAACAAGGAAGAGCAAAGCAGAGAATAAACCGTAGCAATCAATCCTTAAATACTGTAACAGGCTCGTCGCTATTTTTCGATGGGTGACATCACAAAGAGGGCGGATCCGATCTGCATGAAACCACAATTCACGATATTGCCAGATGCCGCGACGATGCCACAGGTACTCCCCTTTTAGTCACGCAAAGGGTGAAGCCTGAAAATGTACAACTCTACGGGAACGTCTTCCACTTCGAGAGACGACTTCAGACCTCTGTGCTTTACATGCAGAAACTGGAGGAGATGACCATGAAGGAAAATCATCCAGAAAAAGATGCGCTGCTTTCAGCCTGTCGATGGACACTGTTGTCGGCTTACCGTCAATCTTCACAGTGAAAACTTTCTCTGTTCTTGAGAGGACCTTGTAGGGACAAGCATACGGAGGTTCCAAGGACTTTCGCACCCAGTAGATTCTCAAGAATACACGTGATGCTTTAATTAGATCATCACTGACGAAAACTGCACTTGAACAACGATTCTTTGTGGGAACTGGTCTAAATAAACGGACATGATGCCGTAACATCTGTAAGAATGATGATGTTGACGTTGTCACAGGGGTGTTAGAAAAAAACTCTCCTGGCAACTTCAAGGTGGTTCCATATACCAACTCTGTCGAAGATGTGGCCAAGTCCGGTTTAAAACTAGATCTTATGCCAAGCAAGACCAATGGAAGAGCGTCCAGCCAGTTCTCAGGGAGATGCGCCATTAATGCACTTTTCAGATGCCTGTGAAACCTCTCAACTGTTCCATTACATTGGGGTGGTACGCAGTGGTTCGAGTCTGCTCCACACCTAAAAAATTTGAAAAAGAAAAGAGATTACTTTGGAAATTAGTACCACGATCAGATGTAAACTTCTGATACTCCAAATCTAGAAATCCATCCTAAAAAGAAAAGTGCGTGCAATAGTATCAGCAGATTGATCCGGGATATGAAATGCCTCAGGCCATCTTGTAAATCTGTCAACACAAGTTAATAAGTAGGTCATTCCTCTAACTGGACTGAGCGGTCCAACTACATCAATATGCACATGCGAAAAACGTGCTGATAGTAGAGGAAAGTGTCCAACAGCTGACTCGGTTGCGCAACGGTAGCGCATCTGACTCCAGATCAGAAGTTTGCGCGTTCAAATCACGTCCGGGTCACCAGTGTAACTTCTAGGGCTTAGATTTCTGGCACTGAATGCAATTCCTACACCATAATGCACAATCCTTGTGCATGTTCTTCCGCACGAATCTGGCTGCAACAAGCTTTTGTGTAGCTTTGACACCAGGATGCGATAAATTATGAATTTGATTGAAAATTTGTCGACGAAAGGATTTCGTGACATACGGACGTACTGTGCCCGTGGACACATCACAATAAAGTGATTTTTCGGATGAAGCAAAGTACATGGGTCTAAGTTCCAAACTAGTACCAGAACCCATCAATGATTGTAGCTCGGGATCCGAAAATTGATCTTCAATCAAACCACTAAAATCATTCAAATTTAACAAGTTAACTTGTGAAATTCTGGAAAATGTGTCATCTACAACATTATCACGACCTGCAATGTAACGCATGTCGGTTGTGAATTGGCTGATAATTCCAAGGTACCCGATTTGACGAAGAGTACTATTGTCATGTTTTCGCGTGAATGCAAATACGAGTGGTTTGTGATCAGTATAAATAACTTCACGACCCTCAAGCATGTAGCAAAAATGTTCAACAGACAAGTAAATAGACAATAATTCACGGTCAAAAGTACTGTACTTTTTCTCTGTAGCGGTCAGCTTCCTAGAAAAGAAACCAGAGGTTCAACTGTGGATTTTATATGCTGTTGAAGCACAGCGCCTACAGCGAAATCTGAAGCATCAGTCAATGACAAACGAGCAGAAAAGATAATGCTGTCGCATTAGCGATTAACCTCTTGAACGACTCAAAAGCAGATTGTGTGTCTTCCGTCCATGCAATAGGGGTGTTGTCTTAACTTTATTTTTAATAAGACCATGCAAACACGCTTGTTCTTTAGCTGCATCTTTTAAAAACGATGGTAAAAATTCAGAGTGGCCAAAAATCTTCGCAACTCCTGAAAAGTTTTAGGTAAAGGAAATTCTTTTAAAACTGAACTTTTTTCAGGGAGCGGGGAAATGCCCTTCGAAGAAACCAGAAAACCTAAAAATTCGAGTTCCGTTTGACCAAAAACACACTTTTGAGTATTTACCACAATGCCATGCTCTCTAAGTTTGCTAAAGACGAGATCAAGATCACTCTTGTGACTCTTGATATACCGAGGCAATCAACAGGTCATCCACATATGCATAACAACTGGGAATGTCTCTGATGATACTGTCAGTGTACCTCTGCATAGTTTGAGCCGCATTGAGAAGACCAAAAGTCATGGAAACGTACTCATAAAGACCTATAGGTGTAATTACTGCCGTCTTATGAATATCTTGAGTTTTCATGGGTATTTGGTGGTAGGCTTTCCACGAGATCGGTTTTAGAAAAAACCGTTTTACCTCTTAAACCTTTGACAAAGTCATGAATATGTGGTAATGGGTAACGATCTAGGGTTGTAACCGAATTTAGACGTCGAAAATCACAGATACGCCATGAACCGTTGCTTTTTTTAACAAAATGAATTGGGCTGGAATACGAGCTTTTTGAAGGACGTATTATTCCTCGCCGCATCAAATCATTAAATTCTTGTTTCAAAAAGGATAATTTTTCGGGGTCCAAACGTCGAGCTCTAGCATGAACAGGACGACCTTTTGTTTCAATGCAATGTGTATATAACTGCACTTTTATTTTTTATTCGGGTCTAAATTTGTGGAAAACAAGTTTGGATATTTCAATAATATTGAATGGAAAGGAGAATAATTTGCAACTAATCTCAAACTTAGAGATTTTGTTCGCTTAACCATTCCTTTAACGAATAGGGAAGTGCGACCATCAAGGAGTCTCCTATTCCTAACTTCAATAAGAAGTTCAAAGCGCTCTAGAAAATCATCTCCTATAATTTGGTCCGAAACATCAGCTACCGAAAATGACCAAATGAAACTACGTATTAGACCAAAATCTAGCTCTAGTTTAATGATTCCATAGGTTGATACGCGAGAACCATTAGCTGCATAAAGTTCAAGATCTTGTTTAGCTGAAAAATTAGTTAATTTCTTAGGTTAACAGCAAATCGCTGCACCACTATCAACTAAAAATTTATTCCTTGTTATTAAGTCTTATAAATAATCGGCTGTTAGGTCTACATCTATCTGCCGAAGAAGAAACACATATGCCTTTTAGTTTAAAGAAAAAGCACAAGGTTTCACGCATTTGGATGCTTTGTCACCGAAACTGTGATGGTAGCAACATAAGCGTTTAGACTCTACAATTTTGTCGGCAGTGCGTCTTGAAGGTGTTGGAGATCGCCTTCGAGGTTTAATTCGGCAGGGTGAATATTGAGAAACAGACAATTTCTTAACAATGTTTTTCAAATCTGCCAATTCCGCTTTAATAGCATCTAACTCTATTTGATCCGATTTAGATTCAACACGTGCAACAGTCAAAATTGCATCCCGACACCTCATGTATCTTGTCCGCAATCTGTGCAAGCTCATCCAGTGAAGCTTTACAGACTGACAAAATTTGTAGGTTAGCTGGTAAACGCTGTAGCCACAATGTCATTCTCCATTTTGGATGGAGCAAGATTTCGCATTTCACTTAGTAAACGTGAACTATCACCAAGTTGTAAGTCCTTTAGTAATAGGTTTAAACGTTCTGAACTCGACTGTGGGAAGTGTTGCAAAACCCTATCTTTAAGTGCAATACATGCGTTCTCAAGAGGCGGGTTTTTAACAATGTCTCTAACACACGATAATACGTTTGAATTTAAAGCAGAAACGACCGCATGAAATTTGGTAGTGTCATTGGAAATGCTAGCAATCACAAATTGTGATTCGACCTGAAAGAACCAAAGCTCCGGGTCATTTTCCCAAAAAACTGGAGCCTTGAATGCAATTCTCGAAAGTTGAGAATCTTGCTCAACACTGGGAAAGACTTCCGGCTTAGTTTCAGGCATAATTCAAGACAATTACAATGACAAATGAAAGTTTTAAAATTATCCTACCTTTAGACAATTAACCGATCAAGAACATACAATCATTGCGGGACGGAAAACGGTCAGGAAAACAAACACAAGACCTTACCTAAAATCAGGGAACGATGCTAAAAAAAGGTGTTAACAAACTTCAAAGTTGAAGGCACTGCATCTTTTAATCACAGTGAAAGCAGAAGACTGTAGAACTGAAATGAGTAACAACTGCAATACTTCAGATTTCATCTAATGTCCGTAAAGTTGAGCAGACGATGAAGACATTCAGGTCACCAATATAACTCACGATGGAATTTTCCGGGTCACCAGTGTAACTTCTAAGGCCTATGGCTAGGTCAAGTTAACTTTACAGAATTGATAGAGGCGAGATTTATATAGTTGTCGAGGTAGTCTGTACATAGAACTATCGACACTCAAGTGCTACATGTTAACTTGTACGATTCTATTCTACTCGGCTTCTCGATCTATCATACCTGTTCCATATAAATTAGAAGCATTCCATTGTGCGTAACTCGTGACGAAGTCGAAGGAAGACTGCTCGTTAATAAAATAACAAATTTAATGAAGCAACAATTAAATTAAAATACTAAATCATAATACAGCTAGCTAATCAAATTATACAAACAAGGAAGAGCAGAGAATAAATATTAGCAATCAGTCCTTAAATACTGTAGCAGGGTCGTCGCTATTGGTCGATGGGTGACATCACAAAGAGGGCGGAACCGATCTGCATGAAATCACAATTCATGATATTGCCAGATGCCTCGATGATGCCACAAATCCAAGCGGGGGATTTTTTTTTTGTAATCTTATCGTAACTATTTTATTCGTGATTTTTCTTGTTGTCTTCCATCAGTTTAATTGGTCTATTCTGGTACCCCCGGTTGGGTTGGGAGACGTCACTTTTCCCGGCCGTGAACAACAGAAAAAGTGCCCCCCCCCCCCCCAACCGGGGGTACCAGAATAGACCCCTAAGTTAGATAATATGTAATTAGACGAGCGTGATTTAAGTGACAGGAAGAAGTCGTGAGAGAATCTGATGAAGAATCCAGCTGCAAATGTGTCAAAATAGAAGACACTGCGAAATGAATTCTGAAGCATTGACAGGATTGTACTTTAGGTAATAAGTTCATAGCAAAATCATGAAAAGCATAAGTTGTACTGTGCCTCTGCTTACTCGGCATCACCAGTATGTTACTGACGGAGGATCTCCTAACTCAAAGTGTGATTTCATCTGTTGTAAGCGAATGTACAATATCCAATCGGATATAAAGATGTATACGCAATTATTTATAAAATTATATAGATTTTGTTGACTAACCTTTTGGATATAAATAAACATAAAATATTTCATACTAACTGTCGTAGTCATACTAGAGAGTCCCATTCTTTCAAAAAAATTTATTTTCAGTATTTGACCATCTCAGAAATTAAAAAAAATTAAGGAACAATTATGTAAAAATGTGATTCAAATGATTAGATTAACTCCTTAACTAGTTTATTTTCTCTACTGTCTCATTAGGTGCCACTTTCTGTTTTGGGAATGACATAGACACCTGAGACGTTAATGAGTACTCTTCCTTTTTGTATCGAATTATAACGTCTACGAATGACGGAATTTCAGACTATAAGTGTAAAAATGCCGTTATTCGATGCACGAGTAAACTCGGGCTAAACAATAAAGTGATAAAATATTCGTTCCAACGCTAGACAAGAGTTATCGAGCATGGATTTCTTGCCTCACCTATCTGATGAATTTTAAGCCTTATATATAAAGCGGTTTTGACAGAGTTTTAACCGATTCCATATAGACGACTAGATTCCCATTTTATCAATAACACACACAGGATATGTTGGGTGGAGTGGGAACTTGAATTTGTGTTACGGGATTTGAAGCACAAAGGCTATTATCCCCTACTTCCAATTAGATGCAGTGCTAATCATTCCAAGAAAACTGAGCAGGTAGTTCCATAGCAAAGGTTAAACCAGTCCTTGACAGTATTAAATCAATCCTAGCGGTAATTCAGAGGACGTCGAAATGGAGAAGAGACAATG